AGTGCTCTGATTATATGATTATTCCTGTTATAAAATTATATGGATAGAAGTAGTGTATATATAGGTATATTACTTCAAAGAAGCAGGTGTGTATATAATGATACTCTATAGGAACAGAGGATTCAGCTATTGGGTTGTTTGAAAAAAGCAGTCGGAACGATGATTCCGCTAAGTAGCGGAGTGGTGTATAAATGTAGTGATAATAGTTGGAGAAGGGATCAGTTCCTTTTCAGTATTCGATTGATCGCTTTTGCGGCTCATAATAGAAAAGCTCTATTAGGGTTAGCGGTAGATTATTGAAGCTTAGTGGAGTTGTGTTAGGAGGTCTATACTAAGATGATCTATAAGGCGGCATATAGAATGGATCCATGTAAATCAGATCGCTATAGCCATAAGTCGTAGAACAGTAGGAGAGTGACCCGATCACTCTACCACTGAACCAGCCAGGCTCCTTGCGGAGGACAATGGTCTTTTTGTCAGTTAAATTTAATTACAAAAATAATATAAATATTTATATATATAGAATCAAGAAAAGTCTATTATATTTTTTTTAATGTTTAATTAATAATTAAATATATAGTGATTGACTATTTATATCAAACCGATTTTGATTCAAATAGGATACGATAATATATATCAATTATATTCTGTAAATACAATATAGCTTTATTAATTTCCTTATTAGATCCAGATTCTATATTAGAATATATTTAAACTATATATAATTATATGAATTCCAATCTATTCCAGTACTTCGAGAATAAGCTTTCTATTTTAAACAACCTAAAACCTATATCGATTAACTATAAACACTTTAAGCATATTTCTGATCAACAATGATCGACCTAATCATTTGCTGATATTCAGATAATATACAAAACAAGATTCTCTAAAACAGGATTACAAACTCTTAAACAGAATAGCTATAGGATTACTACAAACAATACTGAACAAAGAAATACCAAAGGCAATAAGTCTTTGATTAACTAATATTATACTATTATAAGCAATTGGAACACTAGTAGTCTATAGGCCTGCTCCTTAATACATCTAGAATACCCTTCGGGAGGTTAGATATTAGATGTTAATCACTATAAATAAATAAATAAATAAATAAAGCTAATAAATTCCTTTATAAATATTGTATTGAATATATTTATATAAAATATTATAAAAGTATTGAATAAGATTATAAAGTTTATAATAATTATATATTTATTTTTTATATTATATTTAAAAATATCAAATTGCTTTTTGATAGTATTTGATATATTCGAAATGTTATTTTAATTATAATAATCAATATCGAAAAAGAAAAGCGAATAAATATTTATTTTATTTTTATTTTTCTTAATTATATAAAATTAATTGAAGTTGATTAGAGATTATAAATCTAATAGGTATATAAATCTAGAGTTTAATAGTTATAAGAAACAATTCGGAATTATTTATTTATTTATAGTGATTAACGTCTAATATCTGACCTCCCAAGGGGTATTCTAGATATACTAAGGAGTGGGCCTACAGGCCGCTAGCGTTCCAGCCGCTCATAATAGTATAATGTTAGCTAATTAGGGACTTGTTACCTTTAATATTCCTCTGCTTAATATTACTTATAACAATCCTACAACTATTCTATTTAAAGATTTGTAGTCCTATTTCAGAGAGCCTTGTTTTGTATACTATCCAAATGTTAATGGATAATTAGATCGATTACTATCGATTGGGAGAGCGCTCGGAGCGCTTATAGTTAGTCGATATAGGTTTTAGATTGATTAAAATAAAAAGCTTATCCTTAAAGTATTAAAATAAATTGTAATTCATATAGTTTTATATAGTTTGAATATATTCTAATATAAAATCTAAATCTAATAAGAAAATCAATAAAGCTATATTGTATTTACAAAACACAATTGATATATACTATTATATCCCATTTAAATCGAAATCGATTTGATATAAACAATTAATTACTATATATTTGATTATTGATTGAATATTAAAAGAAATATAATAGGCTTTTCTCAATCCTATATATATAAATATTCGTACTATTTTCGTAATTGAATCTGATATGATAGGCTGCAAAGTCATCATATCCGGTCCGTATCATTATAAGTCTGTATAGTATCTTACAAAGAAGCTTAAGACTTTCTGGCTTTGAGATATTATATATCGGTTTCTATATATTGTACATTTCGGAAATCAGACCTCTTTTTTCCTTCCACTATCTACTCTCAGAACACCAACATTTGGTATGTAGGATAAAGCGGGAGCTGCTGACTGTGGGGAGGCAGGATGGGCCAGGGTCAAGCGGCCCAGCAATTCGGAATTATAAATCTATTATTTGATAATATTACTATAAAAACAATTGCTGTATTGAATAAAAGAATTTATAAAGGATATAGAGAGTTAATTCTGTATAATAAAGTTGAAAATACAAAGATATCTCGATTTTGGGATGTTGTGTCGATCTGATGCTAAATCTGTAATGGAGCTTTGATTAGCATTTATTAATGTATTATTATTCTATATTTTATAGGCTCATAAATGTGAATCTATATTTACAAAATATAGACTACATTTTTAATCAATAAATCAATTAATCTTATTTTAACAACAAATTAAAAAAACGATTCAAACAGGCCCTAAGTATTGAGGTAAAGTCATATTATATTATAAATGTAATAGTATTCAAGCTTTATTATATGATATATTTAATAGTAATAGTCGTTTAGAGAATAGAATAAAGACTGCGAATTCTAGTATTTTAAGATTATTATAGTAATCAAGGAGAAAACGATTCCACATGAATTTCCCCCCGTGACTGTTGTAGAGACTCTTGGTTTAGAGGTTAAACTTTCCTTCATCTTAGTATACATGAAAGTTAACGAATCTTATTATAGTAACCGGACCGAGAATCCGGTGTCGACGGCTCTCGCCCCTCATAGCCGACTTTCTGATGTCCCCCATTGGACGGAACTCATCATCACATCAAGTCGTAACTCAGATCAAAATAATTCATCCGGTTTGTGTGGAATTGATTTATGGTACTGGTGGGAAAAATACTTATTCTTGATAAAGACACGTATCATTATTCCTAAGCATATTGATGAAGAATATCTATAAACACGAGTGCTCTCTTCGAGATTTCTGTGTATTCATATGCTTTGTTTCCATGATTTGATGCTATAATTTCCAATCTGATTGCACACATGATTCTTCCTCTACTCCTATGTGTGGCAACAGCGGCCGCTCAGCAGGTCGCATATGGTCAATGCGGAGGTCTGAGCTGGACGGGTGCGACAACTTGTGCTGTAGGAAGCACTTGTGTTTACCAGAATGCATACTATAGTAGTGTTTTCCTGGACCATGTTGCGTTACAGCGTGCTTATTGCTTTCTCTAGGTCAGTGTGTTCCGGGAGCAGTTAGCAGTACCTCAAGCTTGAAGACAACAACGAGTGCTTCAATAACCTCGAAAACGTCTACAGCATTAACAACAAAAGTGTCTTCAACCTTGGCTTCTACTACAAAAAGTAAGAACCTGTCATATATGTGTCGTTCAGTTATATACCCCCTTCCATAAGCTTATAAAAGAATCGCTTAGGCCCCATATCGACTGCAGCCGTGGAGTATTTCATAACTTTGTACGTAATATTAAAATCATTTATCCATCCGAATTCGAATCCGACTAACTCTAAAGTCAGTGGCGACTCATACTCCCAAACATGCTTTGATCCGACTCTGACCCAACCAGCTGCTGGCAATCCCCTTGGGAATCCCAACCTTCAAGGTTACACGACCACTGGCGGGTTCAATTGGGTATGTAACCTAAAAAGCTTGAAAACACTCATTCGCTGATGCAAACCATGTAGATCGGGTATCTTGTTGAAACTTATAATGATACGCTCATGTTGTCATATAACTTTGCTTCGGGAGGCGCAACTACTAACGCATCGCTTGTTGCACCATTTGCACCCACCGTACTATCCTTCATTGATCAAGTAGATCAGTTTGTTCAATACATTCCGTCCGGGCCTTGGTCCTCTGGCAACACGCTTTTTGGCATTTGGATCGGTATTAATGATGTTGGAAACGCGTGGTATCTTTCAAATTATACAACGGTACTCGTTCAGACCATGGATTCCTACTTTACAGAGATCCAGCGAATCTACAATGTGGGAGGCCGAAACTTTCTATTTTTAACCGTTCCACGTGAGTCCCCTTCTTGATTGGGATTGAAAAGAGAATTATCAAAAACTAATGATACACAAAGCAACCCAAGATAGCCCTCTTTTCATAGCTGAAGGGACAGTTGTGCAAGCTTCTATAGCGACCGCTATATCTCAATACAATGCGGCTTTAGTTTCACGCGTAGCAGCGTTCAAAGCTGCAAATGCTGGATCTAACACTTGGGTATATGATACCCAAGTTCCTTTCTTAAACGCAATCAACAACCCTACAGCATATGGCTCGGCCGATGCCGCCTGTATAAATGCGGACGGCGTTAGCTGTTTATGGTGGAATGACTATCATCCTAGCCAGATCGTTCACAAACTAGTCGCTCAAGGGGTTGCCTCGCTCTTAAAAGGAATATTCTGGTAGATGAGAAAACTGCACGCGATAAAATTTATTCTGTGTATATTCGATTCAATCGAAACTGCCACCCAGCTTGCCTGCGTCTGAACACCCCAGCCATAGAGCATATACCCAACAGTCGCATATGCGAAACTTGCGGTAAGGTTCCAGAGACGCATTTCAGGCTCTTTGACTCCTTTATTACGGCGGGCAAGGAAAATAACAATATGATCAGATAACACTCCAGTGAAGTAACCGATAGTAGATCCGATGAGAGTTGCGAAACAAGTAAGGCCAACGGTCGTAGATGAGAAGTCATATGGATCAGAGGAAAAGATCTCTGATACAGTATTGAAGGATACTATACCAGCTGTGCATCCAAAAGCGAAGATGAACCCCGGAATGATAGCTGTAGGAAGAGATCACAGGAAGAAGGGACGTTTGAAGTAGTCCCAGTATGTTGTCGTATCATCTGACTGGTATACCCATAGCGTGAGGGTTTGTAGGTAAGTTCTTCTTGGAAACAACGAAGACGGCAATTCTGCCGAAATAGAACTGTTCGATAGCCTCGTATTTGACATCTTCAAATTTTCCTTACCCGTGCCAGAAGCCGTTTGCACAATAGTTCGATCTCGATCCGTGCCTGTGGAGAAGAATAGAAAGCGCGGAAATGTCATCTCTTCGAAGGAAAAAAATAGGCGCAAAAATACAACGCCATCGATGATACCCACAATGTACTGACTCCATCTCCATCCAGGGCCATCGGCGATGGAACCTTCAAAGATGAGACCAAGACTATGGAACGGTGAGCTTTAATCCTCGTCATTTTTATGATATCGACGAAACCTACATGGACCCAAGTTGTTGCCCGAACAGATAAACTGCAAGCATTCTGCCACGTTCATGAGCAAAAAACATGTTAAATATGGTTAATTGAATTACAGCCTGATATGCTGATGTACCCAAGCCATTCAAGATCATGGCACCCATCCACTCTCCAGTACCTTGGAATTTGCCTAGCCAAATACCGGCACACATGCAAATTAGGGTCGTAGCTAGAAACACAAATCTGTTACCAAGTCTTTTAGCTGCAGGTATCCAAAACATGTTACAGAAGCCCTATGAATTGTTTTAGAAAGAGAGCCAAATGATACTTTTGATTGCACAACTAACCAGTAGTAAGTAGTTGAGAGCTGAACTGCCACTCATGTTGGTGAGGCTAACATTCGTATCCTTGGATATGGTCTCCCAAGCAGCTGTTATTTCATGTCAGTGCATGTAGACCCGATGATCAACACCTTCTTTATGTACCTCCAAGGGTGTTTTCTCCGAAACTGAATGCACAAGCATACAGTCTGACCATAAGTCAGTTGAACTTAGTTCGGCCCCCGAATCTCTAGGCAAGTAAGAAACTTACGCAACAAGGAACAATTGGTAGTATTTCTTCCATCGCAGCCAAAGCTTGATTAGTGTCAGTAAAGCAATGATAGTCCTATTTCAGCAAAATTTCATACCAGGGGATCTCCACCACAGATCGTGGGCCGAGGAATTTTAACAATGTTCGATGAAATCCCTCCTGAGTGAGAATGATACACTGAGTGTCCAACTATATATTCAGTGAGCCATTGGAAAGATAATGAGGTGGTGAGGTGATTACCGTCGATAAGATATTCAGTACCTGGAACATCTTCGATTGTAACTTGAGACATGTTGGGTGTAGATCTGTTTACAGAGTACATTGTTGACAAAGGAGGGCATCGTTATATATGTATCTGTCGTCCGTCACTTGCATATTTTCGAATTAGGCATATCTCATGTATCCCAATAATCGATCATAGAATACCAATTGAATGGCTGATCATTTAGCTTGGCTACATCATGAAGGTCCAGGCGAGAAGCGAGCTTTACTCCACATGTGACCTTGATGTAAAAAGTGGGGGCTTGCTTCAGACTTCCCTTAGCTATCCAAGGTGGGGATAGCTTAGATCCGTCCCAACGTTGCCCCAATTGATAAGACTGTATGATTGATCCGTCTTCCTGAGACCACGATAAGAGAATTGTTCGACTCGAGTCTGGGAATAGGAATCCCGGAACAGCTCCCACATTGAATACCTTTCTTTATGCATAATATACACTCCATTTTACTCTTTGTAATCTCAATCTGATTAGAAAATAGTCAGCCAGACATAGCTAGACGATTTGTGTTGTATAGTTTATTTCAAGCGCGGAAATCATTGGGTTGTTGTTCTTCTTCTTCGAATTGAAGTAGATTAGCGATGAGTGTTTTCAACACCTTTTCCGATATGCCAGTCACAATTACTATGTATTCTGTTGTGGCCAGCTCGAAGTCTCTGCGTGTCTTGCCCATCAGAGCTCAGCCGAACGGGAAGGAACTTTAAAAACAATCTCTCAATGAAAGGACTTGACTAAGTATGGCGTCTTCCATTACCCAAGACTTAAATTTATACTAACAGGCTCAACATACTTCTCCCAGTCCCTTGTAATACTTTGCATCGTGTTCGCTAATAGAGACAAATCTCTGCGTTGCCAATCATCAACAATGACTGATCTAGTCCTCTCGAGGTTCGCAATGGTACAAGTTGACATTACTGCCAATGTACTGAGAATGAATGCTCTCCCAGACACAGATCTATTGTTAACAGTGATTATGTCATCTAGTGGATTGAGTTCCACTGCTGCGACGAAAACAGGCCATGTCAAACTTGTTACAAGGCCACTGTCTAGGCACAGGGAAATGCTTTGGAGAATATCAGGGATTCGCCTGACAACCGAAACTGTGCTAGGCGATGCATCGTACAGAGTGCAGTGAAGATATAAGATAGCCGCCTGTCGTTTCAATTCTGCCGAGTGCAAAATTACACAATCGTCATCCTGATGTACGGTCTGGACGAGACCATCGAGTCGTTGCTCCAGACCTGCGGCTTTGTTGATAAATAGCTCCTCGGAAGCACACATAGGATCTTTACGTTTCATTTTTATCAGATCTGTGATTGAACCTAATATATGGAAGAGTTCTGGGGAACAGCCCATCGATATATCAATTTCGTGAGCTTTAGACGTCCAAGCGCAACTCTTGAAATTTGGTACACCGACACATGCTGTTCGTCCCAGTACATCCTGGTATGTAAAGAACCGTTCTGAAAATGAAAAGAGGGGCTGACATTGGCTTTTTTCAGTGGCCAGTAATGTGAATTGTTTTCGGATCCGGATAATGTCGCGCGCGCCTCGAAGGTAAACTACCCACTGTTCATCACATGTATTGATGATTTCGTACAAGCACATGATCATACTTATAGTGATAATTTCGGGGTCTCTTGATATCTCTACGGAGTCTTCTTGATCGAGTCTCCCTCGCAAGAAATGAAGAGTCCGCGCCTTAAGCTGCATGGCAACCGGCCCCCAGGATGCATCTGTTTTACTCTTGTGACACGCCGAAAGTGCTAAAAGAGATTGCAGGGTAGATTGCGATGTACTCAATGCAAAAGGGAGAACTATTGTTGCGAATGGTGAGTTTGTGGACTGATTGGGAGTTGTCAGCGGACATAGACGGTCTACATAATATTGAAACAGAAGAGTTGTATTTACGTCATCCACGTGGGAAAACGATGAGATGATAGGAAATGAGACAAGGTATCTAGAAGGTATTGCTGTAGGGGCTGGAATATACTTCAACCTAGGAGAAGTAAGACTGGTGATTTCGACGGCAGTATCCATTAGTTCACGTTCAATTCCGGCTTGGTCGTCTTGATCACATGACAGCATCCTGTGAAAGTTCTCGACAGTCCCGTTTACAAAATGATGATGTGATATGTGCGGGATATAGCACTGTGTAACCATTTCAGACGAGAGATCGTAAGAAGGCGATTGATGAACATCCGAAGTCGATCCTCGGTGGTCAATTTTCTTCCATACGCCGGATCGACCAAAGGCTGCACCTCTTCTGGCAAATTCTTCCTGCCATTTCAAGACAAGGTTGTATTTGCAATCATATCCAGTACTAGCGCATCGTTGACATCTGGGCCTTTCTTCTCCGCATTTAACTTTCCTTCTTCGGCAGGTGTTGCATCCACCCAGGCTTCTGGTACGAGAGGCCTTACATTTACCCGTGTCAGGAGATTTACGTCGTGGCATGATTTACATCGAGCATTGAATTGAAGGAGGCGAGGGAAGTGAAGGAAGTGGAGAGGAGGCTTCGAAAATGTGATAGTGAGATAGCGGCTGATAAGTTTCGCCGAGCATTATATTGGTGTAAGGCTGCGAACAATTCGTCCTTGTACCAACGTAGATATAGAAAGTTGTTGAATCTCTGGCGGTGATCGTCGAGCGGAGACGGCACGATTTACACGTACAGTGGATTTTAACCAAAGCCAGACGATCAATCGATTAAGCCATTGTGAGAAATTGGAAATATTTGATACGGGGCACTGGGTAGACACACCGGAACAGATACCGTTACTCAGACTGTTTGTAAGATTATGTTTGGAGTGGGCGAGGTGGGGTACAGTTAGATAGATCGAAAGTGGGTGGGAAGGTCCAAGCGAAGTGGCATGCAGTTGTGTTTAACCTACCTATCATCTCTATTCAATATATTTTCATGAGAGTATCAACGTAGATATATATAATGGTATACCTAAACTCCTAATCGAAGAAAATGTAACCTGGTCAAATATTTCTAAATTCTAATCATGCCGACCGAACTTACTAAGTCATCTCGAATCCTCATTGTGGGAGGTGGGACTTGGGCTGTATCTACAGCTCTCCACCTAGCTCGTCGAGGTTATGTAGATGTTACAATACTCGATGCATATCCAATACCATCCCCAATATCCGCTGGGAATGATGTCAATAAGATTGTAGAACAAGGTGACTACGGCAACGGGATTTCACGAATGCATAGGAAATTCACTGACATACATAGGCTCTTTCACAGAGGGCGAAGATGATGTTTCTATGATTCTACTCAACAAAGCGACGGAAGGCTGGTTAAATGATTCAGTATTCAAACCTTACTACCATCCTACTGGGTATATTGTTGCTGCAGACACGCCAGCTGCATTGGAGCAGGTTGAAAAGCGAGAGCTGCCCGATTCAAAGTCTGGGTTTGTAAGACTAAAGACCGCGGAGGACTTCAGAAAGACGATGCCTCCCGGGGTGTTGACAGGCGACTTTCCCGGCTGGAAAGGTGCGTTCAAGTCTTCAGGTGCCGGCTGGGTACATGCTCGTAAAGCACTGGAAAGTGCAGCGAAAGAGGCTGATAGGCTTGGGGTGAAGTTCATTACCGGTTCACCTGAAGGTGCCGTCACAAGTCTCATTTATGAAGACGGAGATGTACTAGGCGTTAAGACTGCTGATGGAAAGGAACATCGGGGTGATAGGACAATACTTGCTGCTGGAGCTGGAGCCGATGCGCTTTTCGACTTCAAAGATCAGCTTCGGCCAACAGCCTGGACTCTAGGACACATCAAGATGTTGGAGGATGAAACAAAATTGTACAAAAACCTGCCAGTTCTCTTCAATATAGAGAAAGGATTTTTCATGGAACCGGACGAGGACAATCACGAGCTCAAGATATGTGATGAGCATCCTGGCTACTGCAACTGGGTAAGTCCATTTGTTACCTAGTCTTGCTATGGGGAGAAAAGTTCAGAACACCAGAAAGGAAGCCTAGAAGGGTTTTTGATTTTTGCACCTCCATATGAGGGTTGAAGAAACCAAATCCTCAGATTTGAATCGGCGTTTCAAAAAGTATTGCACATGGCGTTTTGAAGAGTATTGCACATTGGAGATATGCAAGCTTGGTCTTCGACCTTTCTCCTAGTCTTGAAAAAGTTTCAGCTAAAAGCAACACCCCTAAATTCAACATGGTAGTAAGGGCTGACGAACTATGTTTCAGATCACAGGCCCAGATGGCAAAACCAGGAGCATTCCATTTTCAAAACAACAGATCCCTATAGATTCGTCCAAGAGAATTCGACAATTTCTGCTAGAAACCATGCCTCATCTCGCAGATCGTCCGTTATCCTTTGCTCGAATATGTTGGTGCGCTGATACCCCTGACCGGGCATTTCTCATCGATATTCCTCCGGGATACGCTTCGCTAATTCTGGCGGTTGGCGGAAGCGGGCACGGCTTTATGCACATTACTTCAGTTGGAGGATTCGTTGCCGATTTGATGGAAGGGGTACTAGATCCAAAGCTGAAGCACGCCTTCCGATGGCGACCTGAAACGGCAGTGGATAGGAATTGGAAGGATTTACAAGGAAGATTTGGGGGACCAAATGAAATTATGGACTTTCAAGACGTCAGAGAATGGACGGACCTCCCTACTAAATAGAGCTGCATATCGTGGCATATGATACATGCAAAGCCCTTGGAAATCTTATGGAACCCGCGCGCGCATTATTGTGCTGAGATTGTTACGAAAAGTCTATACACTATGAACATGTTTCCGGCTCAGATACAGGTTTATAAATCATTTGCTTACTAATGTCAATGAATAGCTATGCAGAATTATTCGTTATAATTTTAGGCTTTCGGATCGTAGGAGTCTTGTGTCACATGATGCCCTTGAATCTATCTCTCGCTGGACTTTCAGCTCTAGAAATTGACTCAAATTGACAGATTTAATATGTTCATCTCACCTATGGACTCGCTCTATGTACCTATGTATGGTGTAAATCTCCTTGAGCACCCCAACAAATCTTTTATAGTCACTTGTGTTAATCTTCTTCATAGATCTCCTGCTGCATCTGCCGTTCCCATATTCGATTCGCTGACTCAACAATCTTTGTCGCTTTCGCAAGAAGTTTGGCATGGTACTTTTCCTCATCATCGGACGCCAGCCGCAACTTTTTCGGCTGGGCCATCAAAAGTACTGGTATTAGTTCCTTCGAGTCTGCACCTGCAACCGCCCCAACTGTTTTATAGCCGTTGTCCCAGAAGATCCTTGCTGTTCGACTTTTGATGAATGTAATTTCTGCTAGTGCGAGTAGGTCGGATTTAGCGCCTATTGCTTGTTAGGTAAGCGAGTAAGAACATTCGGAAACTCATTTTTTATAAAAAAAAATCTGAATTGTCTACACAATTATTGTGACAAAATGAAGAACATACCAGCTTTTAGACGATCGGAGAAGTGATCAAGCACCGCAGCTAGTGCTCCCCAATCCATCTTCTCACAGAACTTTATCATTCCTGCAGCAAAGCCATGACACGTTTGCGCCAAATTCTGTATGATTCCTCGTGGTAAGTCGTATTTGCGAGCAACGGCATGAACTGGAATTTCATCACAAAGATCTCGTAGTTGTAAAGCGGTATAAAATCTCTTGTATACCCTGGCGATCTCGATTTCTTCTGGAGTGGACTCTCTCATCGATCCCCCTTGTGCCCTGACAGAAGTCAAATGTTGAGCAATAGATAAACTTATAGCAGCCAATGAACTTACATTTTATTAATCAATGACGGCTTAAGTCCTACGAAACCAAGAACTCTCAAGTTACTCTCGTCAAGCATATCAACTTCCTTACGGAAGATTTGCCAGTTGATATTGCCCTGCGTAGTCTGAACGGGCGTGAAGGTGTAAAGCACATGCATTTCGCCATCTAGTACAAAGGCTTCCAGAGATCTTCGTAATTCTTTATGAACGAACAAGCCATCCTCGGGAGCGAGAGAAGAAGCCACAACAGCTTGACCCAGACGTGTAGCTTCGTATGAATAGGTTTTTGTCTGTTCTACGAGTTTACTTTCCAGTAAATCTTTAAGGGTTATTTCAACCATTGATTTTAATTCTTTCTGATCGATCGTATGACAGAGGAGAGTTTTTTTCACATAGTCGTCGATCGATTCGCTGCTTGTAGCTAACTTTGTAGTTATTACTTCAAGTAAGGCTCTGTCTACCTATTAGTTCTAATACCTAATGAGGATTTATAAGAGGGTTTTTACCGTTTTATACCTCGCTTGCCTGGCACCAGGCAGCTCTCAACTGAAGGTATTTCGGCTTCCATGAGCTCCGCGACGGCCTCGAGGTCAGACTTTTGACAACAGAGATATGTTTCGCCAATTTCATCCTTCCCTTTGCGTCCAGCTCTACCTCTCATCTGTCGACTAGAATGATTAGCATTTATAGTCAATTGTGACAAGTAAGGTACTCACAGCATTGAAGGGCCGACTAGATCAGATCCCATTCTAGCGCCATGCAATATAACCCGCCCTATTGAATTGTCAGTCTCCGTAGTACGTTCGGATCAACAAACACTGAATGATTGTATTGAAATTATCAGAAGCTTCTTGGGATCGAAAGATAACTCACGGGCGGGAAGATTGATACCGGCCGCAAGACTGCAGGTCGCTACCATGACTTTCAATACGCCTTCATCGTAGGCAGCTGCGACCAAGTCGCGCTCCTCTGTAGTCAGACCAGCATCTGTGGGTGCGCGTCAGAGAAATTCAAAGATTAGAGGATGGAAAATACATACGATGAAAGGCCACGCCCGCTAAGACTGTCTTTTCAAGCACTTGATCAAGACCGCTACTTGTGTCTCTTAAGTCATTTAGAAGATCGCGTCGTCTGTTCATCAAGAGCGGGTCAATAGCATCCATTGAAGGAAGCACTTGGCTTATCAGAAGTGCATCCCTTTCACAACCCAGTCGACCTGTTATTTGGTAGGCTTAGTATTACGATACGGCAGAGGAGACAAACGGACCAACTTACTGCTGCAAAATACTAGCACACCGTAGCCACTTCTGGCGGTTTCATTGGCTAAAGCAACGACCGAGTTTGTCAAGGGATTGCTAAGCTCTTTATGCTGTGAGGTCTGTATTCGCCTATGAGGACCCGGAAGTGTCTGCGTCGAGTTGCCTGAGTTCTGAGAGTTTAGTTGCGAAGCTGTCTTGTAGAACCTGTTCGAACTAGAAGCCGGATATACAGCATTTTCAAAGACAAGGTGCTCTTCTACAGGAACAGCCCTGTAGTTAGAAATGTAAAATTTGGCATTATTGAGCCATTTAGCGAGCAAGTCTGCATTCTTCGTTTGGTCAGACAACTCTTACCATAAGACAACCACAAACACAAAGAAAGAGTTAGACTTACATCGAGTGTCGCGCTCATGCCAACGATCTGTACGCCTTGTTCTAAGCTAAGCAGTTTTGTAGCCATTAACTCCAATATATATCCACGGCTTTCATCATTTATGAAATGTATCTCGTCAATGACTACAACACCAAGATTTCCGATGGAGCAGTCATCAATGGCCGCGTTGACAAGCGAGTTTGCCTATAAATATTAGCCAATGAGTGTGAATGCGAAAGCATTTATATCGACGCACCTTCTCAATGGTGCACACAGCAATGTCCATATCAGCCCATGTTGCGTTTGACTTGCTGCCACCATAGAAGCCTGTAACCCTAATGGAGTTTTCATCCCCTCGGTTTCGCCACATGGATGGCCATTTTGATTCCCGCACAGAGGTCTCTTTGCAGATCCCCTGGACAATTCTTCGGAGCCATCGAAGTTTCTCTTGAACCAATGCAACGTAAGGCAATACTAATAGAGCTTTCTTCTCCGGATTTTGTATTATCTTCTTGAGCATGAGGACATCTGCAACAAGTGACTTTCCGCCCCCTGTAGGAGCAGTATAGACCAAGTTGCGTTGTCCAGCAAGGGCACCACTACGAAGGAGACATTCGGATTGCCATGGGTATATAGATTTGACTCCTAGGGCAGCAAAGTTTTCGACTAGTTGATTTGGTAATTGATATGCAGGGTGCGATAGATCAAGCAAGGGATTCAGTGTAGGGGTTGGCGTTAAAGCCAGATGCCTTCTTTGTGAATACTCGGAATATTTCTGGACAGTAACATTATCAATTTCACTTGCTTTCAAAGCACCCGGATGTGTATTTTTGAGATTTGGGCGCTTAAAATCTCTCTGCCTAGTGAGGTCAGTTTCGATATGGGGATGATTAGCGGGAGATGGTGTTTCCCGTGATTCTTTGGAATCATTCGACTCATCAAATGTTCTTTTCACAGCAACGCGGGAAATTGTTGTAGACGCAACCCTTGTTGCATCTATGGTAGTTTTGTGATACAGACCAGACGGGGTTGCATTAGACTTCTTCATTTCCACGTTGGGTTGAGGTCAAGTGGATAGAAGATATTCTGCAAAGAAACATGAAGAAAGCAACAAGCCATTAAGACGCAAACCCAAAGGAAAGATAGAAGGCGATCATTAAAATGATAGACGTGAGTAGGTACTTAGAGAAGGTTACCAAAAAGGGATTTTGACGCCAGGTTGTACTGTAGCAAAATACTAGAAGTATCTATGTACCTAGAGTAGCCAGGGTAGATATGTAGTTCTGAATCCCGGAGAACTTTCTGTGACTTTTTTGGGAGGGAAGGGCCAAATTGATTGTGATTTGGTAACCTTACGGAGCCATGTACCCAATTGGAAGAATCAGTTATTTGTAAGCAAGCAAAAGAATGAGTCAGTGAATGATGACAAGAAATACTTCTTCCAACCTTTGTTCGATTACACCAATTCGGCCGGTGAGAATCTTTTTTTCTTTTCTTTCGTTTTTGTTTTTGACTGGCAACACAATGGATGGCTGACGATGAGATGGAAGGCTCCATGGATGGAGGGAGGTCCATCAATTGATGCAACTTGAATGGTGGGGAGAGTTGAAAAAGCTACACGTGATTGATCCAAGCCAGCCATCGGTGTGCCGGGGCTTCCAAGTTTGAGCTAGCAAGGATATCTCTCACTACCCCCGCTTGTAAAGTGGAGACTTCAAGCATTTTGGAAGTTCGAGATCAAAAAAAGTTCGATTGATGGATGGATCTATCGAGTGGATGTTACTCTGTTCATTGTTCTACCTGATGGTTCTGTAACACCAAATTTACCTAGCACGCACGGCTATGACTCGAGCAATCAATTGTTGGCATTGGAGCAAATGAACTGCTGCAACGCATGGGAGGAGTAAGTAGTCAGTATTTGGGATCCAAGGTATTGAGTGCGTGACTTTGTATGTTTTGGACGATATCAAAGTGATGATTATTTTATTTTCTCTTCAGTCCTATATATATATATATATATATACTAGGTATATCAATTATCCTTTCCACCCTTTTGGTGGAATCATATAAACTGTGTGGTGTGCATGTGTGCATGTGTGCGTGGGTGTATATATTATATATATGTTATATATATATGCATGCTAGGTAGGTATCTACCAGGTATCTGCTTTGGATACACCTATTCACCTAGGACGTCCAAGAGAATCTAGATAATAAACGTGATATATATCAGGAATGGAATTCTTCAAGTCGCCTCCCGCCTCTTTTTC